CGGAGACGCCCCCGCCCTCGCCGCGATGCAACGTGATAGCGAGGGACATCGTGACCTCATCAGCGACGAGCGCCAGAGGAGCAGCTGCGCTGGCGATCCAGGAATCCACCCAGGGGCGGGGAGGGGCAGCCTCCCCCGCATGACCCCCACTGCGCGGTACGCGGCGCTGTAAGTGACGCTGGCAGCGCGGTCAGACCAATCGGCCGCTCCGCTCAGCGGGCCGCTGATCGGCCGCTGTTGGTGTTGGCCGCCCGCGCCGCCCGCGCCGCCCGGTAAACAATGAGCGGCAGCGGCAGCGGCGCCGTCCGTCACCGCCCCGGCCGCGACCTCCGTCGCGCCCGCGGGGCATCACGTGCCACCCCGCCGGTGACGTCAGCGGCGCCAGCAGCGACCCTGTGATGTCGCACCGGGAGGACGCCGGGGCTGCGACGTCGGCCCGCTGTCCAGGCCCAGTGGTCTCTAAAAAAAGCTGACCGGAAGGGAGACTTCGAGGCCAGATGCCGGTCCACCTTTCACACGTTTTCTTGCCGTTCGCGAGCTAACACTGTTCGTTCATCGATTTGGGCTCAGCCAGCTGGCAAATGCTAGCTTGTGAGCCCGCGACACTGCCACATCTGCAGGACCGAATCGAGTATTTGCAGACCACACAAGCACACATGTGGCGCGTGGAATACTTAAGCCTGTGCCTTGAGTATCACCAATCACGTTAAAGAAACCAAGCACATCTAACTTCGAGTCATCAGGATCGTGCTCCAACAAAAGCAAGGACGAGGGCGAAACACTGCCTGCCTTTCCACGCACCGCAGAAGACAGAAATCGGCCAGGACGGTCACTTAACGTGGTGTTGGGCGAACGCGCCGCCCGCCGCCGCCCGGTAAACAGAGCAGCGGCGGCAGCGGGCGCCGCCCGTCACCGCCCCGTCACCCGCCTCAAGCACGGGATGTCCGCCCAGTGCCATCCATGCCGAGCCCTTCACTGCGCTCCGCGCCCAGTGACATCGCACAAAGTGCGTTTCAACCAGGCGCGGCGCCGCATAAACTTGTGCAATTGGATAACGGCCGCCTCAATTGGCGCAGAAGACGGCGTGCAACAAGGCAGGCGGCGTGCAAGACGCCCCGCCCCGCACGGTGCACGTTTGAAGCGCACATTCGCCGGGGCAGCGACGGCCTTTGCGACAAGTGGACGATGATCCAATCATGGCCGTCGCTGCGGTCGGCAACACACTGAGCTGGGTGGTCCAAACGCAATCTCGGCGAGCGAAGCCTGTCCTCGGAATTATCGGTGGATGGGCTGGACATAATGACATGTAAGACATTGTATATAAGCCTCCGACACCTCGTGTAGAGGTATGGGCCCTTGGCTGTGCCGTTGCACACTAAGAGAAAACATCTGAAAGGTTCTCATTCCCGAGATTGGTGCACCGCAGTCAGTCGTAGTCCTAGCAACTTTTACCTGAAACCAATCTAGGCGATCGAAATGCAGTTCTGTTGACATCGATTGGTTTCAAAGTATTGATGAGATAAATAGCTAGTTACAATGACAACGATTCCAATGCATTCATAATTCTAATCAAGAGATCGATAATTTTCAAGCGAAGAGATGGGCCATCCCGAAGAACACCCGCTCTAGATCCATGCTTTGCTTAAACAGCAGTTTCGAGAAGCCTTTCTTGACGTCGCAACGTTCGGATCCGCTTCCGAGCAACTGGAAGAGTTTGTTGGGTCTGAGATACTGAGGTCTTTTGATCCAAGAAGGCGATGTCTCGAGGGTTGGCGCACATTGTACCCAAGGCTCCTGATATGCACTACTTCAATTCCAAGACTTCAAAATAAACACACCGGGCTGCTTGGAGGACATGGGTGACTGCAGAGCATGGCTGGCTCTCTAAGACAGTAAAATCGCCACAACCCGCTCTCTTGGTCAGCAGCGGAAACATCAGCCCGCTCTGGAATGTGCAGCATGCCAACCCGAGCCACCAGCTCCTCGAGCTGTGCTAACGGTCAGCTCCGATGCACATTCTGTGCCGGCGGCGGTTCGGCCCGCCCCGGGTGCGCGCCTGCAGCTCTGTTTGGCCGGGTGGCATGCCCACGACCGCAGCGTGCAAAAACGGTGCGGCGCGCCGCTCGTCTGCACGCCGCGGCGGCCCGGGTGACGGCACAGGTCAGCGGCACCAGTCGCGCAACCAGAGCCCGGGTAAACACATCTCGGTCACTGGGACGGAGCGCCAGACGCCGCCCGCGCCGGCGCCGCACCGTCGCCGCCGCCGCCGCCGCGCCGCGCGCAGTGGCCCAGTAAAAACGCGTCCGGCCCGGCAGATAAGACGAGCGCGCGCGGAAATCCGGCGCGACGCGGCGGTGGCAGCGCGGCTGCGGCAGGTGGCGCCCCTACCGTCCAGCTGGCGCGGCGGCAGTCTGGCGGTTGGCCCGAAGAGATGGCTGGGCGGATGTCTTGGCTGCTTCCCCCCCCCCCTCCCCCTCCCCCACCCCACAGTTCCTCTGTTGGCAAAAGTCGCAGAGAACATTCTTCGGTTGGAGCACGAGATCTTCCTTGGTCGCAGGAAACATGAGCGAAACAATGAGAAACTCAGCTCAAGTCCAGTCTCCAAGAGCGTTACGATGATATCTGCAAAGTTCAACAGCCGGAAGCGATTTAAATGCCTGAGGAGCTCAAAAAGAGCCGGATCCTTCCGGCGCTGCCTGACGGACTCCGCGCGCGTATCATCAGAGGTGTTAACGGAGGTAGAGTGCGCCGTGCAAAAACGCCGGCTCCGGGAGCGGGGCGGATGGCGCGCGGCGTCAGGGTGTCGCCGGAGCCCCCGACAGAGAGAGCGCACGATCAGGCTGATAGACGGAGCGATACTTTTTGTCGCTATCGCCGAGCTGAAGGGAGCTGAGGGGATTGAGAGAAAGAGAGAGCAAACGAAAGGGAACTGTGTGGGAAGAAAGTAATGGAGAAAAGAGTGAGAGTGGGTCTGTGTGTGAGGTGAATGAGAACGTAAGTGAGTAACTTAGCAAGTGGGTAACTGCAAGTAAGGGAGTAGGTGAGTTAATGCATAACTGGTAAAAGGGTGATGAGGGGAGGAGTAATTCACCATAGAATGGGGAATTGGGTTGTGCAAAAGCGTGAAGATAGAGAGTGAGCAAAAGAGAGAGAGAGAGAGAGAGGAGGAGATATAGAGAGAGAGAGAGAGAGAGAAGAGAGATGAGAGAGAGAGAGAGAGAGAGAGAGAGAGAGAGAGAGAGAGAGAGAGAGAGAGAGAGAGAGAGAGAGAGAGAGATAGGAGAGAGAGAGAGAGAGAGAGGAGAGGAGAGAGAGAGAGAGAGAGAGAGGAGAGAGAGAGAGAGAGAGAGAGAGAGAGGAGAAGAGAGAGAGAGAGAGAGAGAGAGAGAAGAGAGAGAGA